GGGGAGGTTGACAGTTAAATTTAAATCACTGGCCATGCTATTTAGGATGACTAACATTTTAACCCGTGTCATGCACGCAGTGAAGCGCATTTTTTTCCTGATTTTATAATTTTTCTTCGCTACATCAGTCTTCAAATATCGAGCAAAATAAAACATATACATTTGCTAATGAAATTTCTACAATATACATTCTAAATTTAAACATTTTGAAAATTTTTTAGCTATACAATAATTTTTTGTGATTTTATAAAGATTACCAAAGACATCGAAAACTAAAACTTTGAACCCTACTTTCACTCTTACTCGCGAAACACTAATATATAGTTAGTCGTAAATGAATACCGACTTGGTACAAAATAATCTAATTAATGATAATGTTTAGCCTTAACTTTATTTATAATCATAACCGAACAAAAACTATTAAAAATTATATTCTTTAAAATTTCAAGAGTAATCTTGTATGAAATGATACACATTTCATTTAATTTAGGCTATGTAAATGCTTTGTACGACTTTGTTTCCTAATACTACATTTGTGTGCCAAAGATAATTAATCACTACTTTTTAATGTTTTACCTTATACTATTACAGAGTTCAGATAGTCGATAAATGTTCATCAATAACATAATGAGTATAACATTCTTCAAATTCAAATTATGTTGTGTTTTAAGATTCACGAATACTTGTTTACGTTCATTAATTCTACTGACGTAAAAAATTTTATTACCAAATACAGACTTTATGAGTAAAAAAATGATTCTTCTATCATACATCGCGGCATTAATTTAGAATAGCAAAATCAATTAAATCAATAATATTGTTCATCTCTCCTGCAATAATATGTTTATATTCTTTTGCATTAATTAAGAAATATGATTCTTTTCTCCCACATGATTCAAAAATAAAGGCTTGGATTAGCACTACTACTATGATTCAAGAAATAATAATTTAAAAAAATATTAAAAACCCAATAATTCAACTCCCCAACATTAAATAAAAAAAGTTAATATAAAAAAATAGTGATCCGATAATTCTAAATAGAATTTTACAAACAATTTGATAGTTTTTTTTTCAATTTTTTTCTGTTTGATTTCAAGCCCGTGAAAACATTCTTTTCATAATTTATTTGATTTAAATATTTGATCTCAAAAAAATAGTCTAGGCATTACTCGTTTTATAGAGAAAATAAATTTAATTCTAAATTTGGATTCATGAGTTCAAAATGAGTAATTATCATTTTTAGGAAAAGAATTAAAAAAGGTGAAATAATTAAAAAGAGTAAGTTTGATTAAAATGCCACCTAATATGCCACATGTCAAGTTCTTAGTAAGTCACATGTCAAGTCTTAATATGCCACATGTCAAGTTCTTAATGATTGAAGTCTCAAATTTATATATATATATAAAGGATAAAGGATGTACAAAATTGGAGTAAAATAATAATGTACCTTCGCAATGGATTACCCTCAATTTTTAACACTTGCAAGCTAGGTTCCAGTAAACCCTACAAAAAAAAAAGGTGAGGAAATGAATTAGTTGAAAATACAGGCGGAATTGTTTAGGAAATTAAACCCTACTGTACTTCTGCACCATTTCATCCATATTTTTGTATTTTAAATACCTATATATACCATTTCATATGCGCGTGTGTGTGTATGTATGTATGTATATGTGTGTGTTTTTGTGTGTGTGTATGTGTGTGTGCATGGTGCGTGCATGCGTGTGCACCCAATACTCAGCTGCAGCAACAATAATAATCACAGTTCCAGATCTTTTAGATAGCTTAACTGTTGGCCTTTGGATGATGGTCTAAAGCAGGTTGTTAAAAACAGTTAGTCCAAAGACAATTATGGTGGATGTATGAGAGGCCAGGTTTCAAAGCTTCAAAATCTCAAGGGGGTCCTGAAATGTTGGAACAGAGGTCAGCTATGAACAGAGGCAGAGGAAACTTATGAATATCTCAACCAAATGATGTCTCTAGGGAAGCTGCTCAACTTGGTAATGCAAACCTTATTCAAGCTGCCAAAAAAGAGGTCAGCTATTGGTCCCAAAAGGCTCATGTTAAATGGATCTCAGAAGGTGATGCTCCTAATAAGTTCTTCCATTCCTTTGTCAATGGTAAAAGAAGAAGACTTCGTATCAGCACTCTAAGATCATCAGGGGAGGATTCTTACTAATCAAGATGATATCAAGAGGATTGCCTGTGATCACTTCCAGAAACACTTCTACAAGGTTGATACTGCTGACCCAGATGAAATCCTTCATTTTATTCCTAATATTATTACTGCAGGTGACAATTTGATGAGGCCTCACCATTCCCTCCAAGGAAGAAGTGAAAATTGCTGTTTTTGGGCAAAATGGTTATAAACTTATAATGGCAGCTTTTACAAGGAATTCTGGGAGATAATAGGAGATGATGTTTGGAAGGCTGCTCAAGAATTTTTCGTGGGAACTAACACAACTATGGCCTATGTAACACCTTAATTCCCAAAACTGTCTCTCCAACTTTTGGTGACTTTAGGCCAATTAGCCTTTCAACATTCATGAGCTTTAAAGACAAGGATCCTAGCCTCTAAACTTGGCAGCTTATTTCCCTATTTCACAAGTCCCAACCAAGCTAGTTTTCAAAAAGGCAAGTGTGCTGATGACCAAATCCTTCTCACTAGTGAGATGGTTCACAATCTGGCCATAACTGCAGATGGAGGGTATTTAAAGAACTACAAGCTGGGTAGGTTGGATCCTGTAACACATCTCTCTTTTGCAGATGATATCATCATATTCACTGGTGCTAAGATGACTGAAATCCTGGGCATGCAGCATGGATCTTTACCCTTCAAGTATCTGGGAGGTACCATTACCAAAGGCAGACTTAAAAAGACTGGTTGTAAAGCTCTGATGACTCAACACTTTGACAATTATCTAAACACCTGGTATAGCAAGACTTTGAATCAAATGGGGAGACTTATCCTCATTAAACATGTACTCTCTCACATACCCTTACATATCTTGGCAGTACAAGAAATTCAAGGCTTTATCACTTGTTTGGAGAGGAAACCTAAATATCATTGGCAGGCCATTTCCAAACCATCTGCTGATGGTGGCTTGAGCATTAGAAGCTTTACAAATTTGCAAATAGCTTACGCTCTCAAACTTTGGTGGAAAGTGCAGCAACATGACTCTCCTTGGGCTAACTACATGAGGCAAAGGTACATGAGAAACAATTCCTTTAATGCGAAACTCACTGACTCATGTACCTGGAAAAGAATTTGCAGAATCCACAGCCTTGGTGTTGACTGTAGCAGCATTGAGAATGACCAGCTCATCTGGCATGAAGGGGATTTCAGCTTGGCATCTGCTTACCAAGCTACCTTGGCCGAGGGTTCTAGCTCTAGGATTGCTGATTATTGCTGGGATTCCACACAAGTTCCAAAAATCAGAATAATCTTGTGGAAATTACTCAATAATCTCCTTCCTCTACACTGCAACCTAGGGAAATTCAATATTCACCAGCCTTCTATTTGTTATAATTGCTATTAGGGCTCCAGTGAGATCACACCTTTTTACATTGCCATGTTATTCAACATGTTTTGAGGGAGACAGGGAGTATGCCATTGAAGTTGATGCTCCATTTCTTAGACAGGGGATCATACTTAGATAGCATCTCTTGGAATGGTGGTTATCACACAGCAAGGCTACTCTGAAAGGGGATACTAAGGCTCATAATCCAGACATTATTTGTAGGGCTACATGGAAACACCTCAACATCTTCATCCATGAAGGAAAAACATTCTCCAGGCAGGCAATCATTAGAGAGGTTAACCTCATGATCCAAAATTGCTCCATAGGCCAAAAGCTCAAGCGAAGGAAATTCAGAGACCAGCTTCTCAATATTCCAAGCATCTACTTATTCATTCACTCCTAGTAGCTGGTTGATTAATTGTTTTATGCTGTTGTGCTCTTCTTGACTGTAACCCCTTTTCTTTTGTAATCTCCTTCAATTATTAATATATCTGATAAGGGTTCCTGACCTTATCAAACTGATTTTGATGGTTCCTTACTTGGATTTACTTGATGGGAGTTTTGAAAAGATTTGGGTTCGGTGCCAAGTACATACTCCTCACCAGAATATCCTCTCCTCCACCACTCTTGCTGTGAATATTAATGGGAAAAATACAAAAGCCTTCCACACTTCTAGAGGCTTGAAAAAAGGGTGACCCAATCTCACCTTTACTCTTCATCATTGACTCAGAAGGTTTGAGTAGAACACTCAAAAACCTTATCTGCAATAAGCTCCTTCAAGGTTACAGCATGGGGAGACACTATCTACCCATAACACATTTGGCTTTTGCAGATGACCTTATCATCTTCCTTAATGATACCTCCACCAACCTCACCAAATTTCACAGCTTCCTTTAAAACTTATGAACACTGCTCTGGTCAAAAGATCAACCTGGACAAAAGCAGCTTCTACCCCCTTCCAAAACCCCATTTCAGAGATGTAAAACCATGGCCGAAACCCTGCGAATGAAAAAAGGAGACATGCCTTTCAACTTTCAAATACCTAGGGGTCTAGATCTTTAGAGGTATCAATAGAACACCCTACTATAAAGATCTCATTGATCAGTTTGATAAGAACTTAAAGGTTGGTGCAGAAAACACCTCACTCATAGTGGTTAGGTTGATTCTCCTCAAACATGTCCTCAACTCTATACGCCTCCATACCCTCACTGTGAACAAAATCCCTAAATCTGTCATTACCCTCTTCAATAAAAAAGATGTGCTCTTTCCTCTGGGGAGACAATACAGGGAAGGACAAGTACCATTGGGCTTCATAGGACAGAATTTGTATGCCAGAAGATAGGGGAGGTCTGGGAGTCAGGTCCTTGGTCACTCTACAAGAAGCCTATAGCCTAAGTTGTGGTGGACTTATCATGCAAATAATTCATTATGCAGTCAATTCATGAGAGCTAGATACCCTAGAAAGAACAACTTCACTCCCAAAATTACAGATTCCACTACATGGAAATAAATTTGTTCTATACACAACTGCGCTACTAATATCTTTTTTTGCAGATCATGATGAGGACATACTATGGAGACCTATTAACATCAACCAGTTCACACTAAAGGAAGCATACCAAGCAATCCAAGAACAGGAAGGAGAGGAAATCAAAGACATGGAACTCATATGAGAAACGAAACAAGTACCTAAAATTGCTTTTTTTCCAGTGGAGAGTATACTTTAACCTTCTACCCTTTCCTACAGCTTTAACAAAATTTGGGATTGAATTCTTTTTATCTCAATGCCCAATATGCAAGGAGAATGAAGACTCAATACTTCATACTTTGATTCCATGCCCGTATGCACGAAGCATCTGGAACTACTCTGAATGGATCTTCAAAATTCCATGGCAATCAATGCATGGGGTGAGAGCTCACTTACAAAGATGGTGGAGCAACTGCAATCTCAAGACGCTCGATGACTGGATCAAAGGTATCCTATCGGGGATCATTCTTCATCAAATATGGAAGGAGAGAAATCTTTGTTTAAATGGAAACATTGCAAAGGAAAAGCACAAATTAATTCAAGACTGTATAGGGCAATTACAATCTTGGATTTTAGGGAGAGCACTTAGCAAGCTTATGAAGTATGGCGCCTGGCGTCTTCCCTAAGAGCTCTATCCCATTCAGATCGGCACACATAAGATCAGAATTCATCGTTGGAAGCAAGCACCAGAGGATTGTCTTCATCTTTCAGCAGATGTAGCATTCAGGAACTCAAAGATGATAGGGGGAGCTATCCTATGCAACGGTCATGGACACTTTGTGGCAGCCAGCACATGGAGCATCAACACAATCAGTATCCTAGAAGGAGAAGCATGGGCTTTACTTCTTGGACTAAATTGGGCCAAATGTTTCTCCAACAAGATTTGGGCTCACACAGACTTGGAGACAATCGCGAAAGCAATGCACGGAAACAAAAACCCGGGAGTTAATCCAGATGTCTGGACAGGTATTCAACGCGCAATCCACGAAGATGGAAACAATCTGCGCCACATTTACAGAGAAGGAAACATGGGAGCACATAATCTAGCAAATTGGGCAAGCAAGAAAAATGTCTTTTCTCAATGTATTTCACTTTCAACTATTCCACATTCTGTTAAGGGAGCCATTATGGCAGATGTAACCCTTCCTTTCCGGCATTACTAAATCAATAAAAATCTCCTCTTATATATATATATATATATATGTATGTATGTATGTATGTATGTATGTATGTATATATAAGGCTTAAACTTAAATTAGAGAAATATAGGTTTATAAGTACATATAAATTGAAAGACAAATAAAACTAAAAAGAATGGTCATGTAAGAGTTAAGACAAATTATGGTCAAAATATCTTCCCGGAATATAAAAGCTTAAGAAACCAATAATCATGAATCTCGAAATATGGAACTTTTGTATGCTTCTTACTAGTTCTGGTGGAAGTGTAGAAATATTATTGTCTGAAAGGTCCAGCTCTGTGAGAGAATTCAAATCTTTTATTCCCTGCAGACAAGGCAAATATATATGCATCCATGAATTAAAACAGAATTTGAGATCATAGTCTAGGTTACAAGCTTTTATGTTAGCTTGATCAATATGCAAAAGTAGACAAACCATAGAAGTCATGGCCCTAATGTAACAAAGAGCAAAATTAGAACACACAAAAACGTATACACATTCGTGTATCCTATGTCAGGTGCACAAACTAATACCAAAATGGAAAAATAATTTTTTTCAACAAAGGGTAATACTTGAATGAAAAGGAACAAGTCTTTTCCATGAATTCAACAAAGATGTTACCTCAGGAATTGATTGAAGGGCATTTTGGCTCAAATCAAGAATTCTCAAATGCTTCAAGTTCATAATATCACATGGGACTATAGATATGAGCATCCTTCTGCTCAGTTATGTAGAGAATGTAAGAATAGGGGACATAATTGATAACAAGTCAGGGTAAAATGTCAGTAAACAGACCTCAAATAAAGCTCCTGCAAGTCTGGCATGCAAGAAAATGCTGCATGCTGTGCTAAAGAACCTATATTGCCAGTTAGGTCTAGAATCTGAAGCTTTTCCACAGCTTGGAAGCCATCTAATGGTATCTACGCAGGCACAAGACATGTTAGAAAAAACTGTAAACTTGAACGCTTAAAGATGCATAATTCTTCACTATTCGAATGAACATTTCAAACTTGAAAAACTCTAACACTTCATTTTCTGAAAATATTAAAGAATAGCACATGCTCCATTTTTTACTAAGAGAATGCAACTTTGAAGTGTTCACACATACTAACGAATAGCTAGAATATACTACGTATGGATAAAAACGAAAAAACTTATAAAAGACTAACAAGCCCTTACTTATGTATTTATCTAACAATAAACATTGTAACAATTGAGAGTATAAGGTGGGAGATTTAACCATAATATTGAGCATAGATGTGTAAATTTGGAAAATGCAATAAATGTGATCTCGAAAATATAGAACAATTAAAAACACTTTTGTGGAAGTGGGTGCATAGATAAAGAGGTCACAGTTAGAGAGGTTTCTTAAAGTAAGCAAAATGTGTTTCCATGAGGACTCTTAAAGAATGCAAGAAAGATATCTCACCACTACCCCATAGTGGCTTGTCATCATACATGCTTCTAGAACATAAATAAGCAGTAGAAGTTCGGCAATTGAAATATACTGTAAGTCTGTAACTCATGCTTTCTCTGTAACTCATGCTTTCTCTGTCCCATAAAAAACTTCTCACTTTCCTTTTTCATTATTCCCAAAAAAACTTCTTCACTTTCCTTTTAAGGAAATGAATTTGTGGCTAAAAAATTCTCCTCTTGACCGATTCTAACAATCTAACCACACCTTTATCACTTCAACACTTCTACTTAACTCCGTGAAAGCCAAACTGAGAATTTTTTTATGGGTTGCACTAAGGGAGTATAAGAAATTGAAGGATAAAAAGACAAATCACCCGTCAAACTAATCTTACTTCATATTCCATTGAGAACTATAAGGTAGTTTGATACAGCAAAAGGAATAACAAGGGAATGAAACTTAAGTCCATGCGTAAAGAATTTAGGATTAAAGTTCTATTGTTTAGTGGGAGATGTTAAGAATCACACATTCAAAGGTAAAAGAGAAAGATAGCTCATTTTCCATAAGTTATTTTGTAGAAATCATTTCCCTCTCTTCCAAACAGACCCTAAGAGAAAATCAATGGATGGACCTGAAGTGTCCAAATCATTCAAGACATGGTGGATTCATGGGACTACCGTCCGATCATTTAGTTGATGTCTGAAAGGGATATTTTACAACATTTGAAGGATCAAAGCAGAATTGACTTAATGAAGAGTGTTAATAATAATAATAATAATAATAATAATAATAATAATACTAATAATACTAATAATAATTATAATACCAACTATTATTATTATGTCTTTCCTGATCAGCATTATTCCCTAAGTGCTACATTTAGGAAAACACTGTACAACATCAGGGTTAAACAAAAAACAGTTGTGTTTCTTCATTTTTAAAACAGAAGAATTTAGACCAATTACCTCTCTTAGAAGATTGTTGTCAAGCTTCAAACATGTGAGTCTAGAAAGTGACAACAAGATTGAACCAGGCCAATTCTTTATCTTGTTCTTTGATAAAATTAAAGCCTGCACGTGCAAGAATTATGATGGATTAGTAACAGCTTAGTATGTGAATAATCTACAACTCTTGTAAGGACTGCTTAGTGCTTGGAAAATAATAAAGTGATCACTTATATACAAAAAAACTATATAGAATGGGGTAGGTTGGCCACTAGTGTTAAATAACACCATGATGTTGGATACCCTGGACCATGGGATGTTGAATCAAATAAAAAAACATTTTTCTCTCTAAGCTTTGCTCTCTCTCTAACCCCCAGAACTCTGAATCCATCATTGGTGCTCTAATTGAGAGACCAAACATATCAAGCTTGCTCTTCAGTCGGGAAGAAAAGCAGGAGAGCTCTTTCATCCACCACGCACCGCAGCGGTGGCCTCCAGCTCCAGGTCATTGCGCCGGCCACAAGAGAACGCTAGCATTTACACTGCCTCTGCCTCTTTAGGGGGGCATTCCGCTGATCTCATGATCGGATCACCCGGTCACACACCACCTCAATTGATCTGCAAGGTCAACTTCTCAATCATAAACTCGTTGCGGACGACTGCGACTGTGCACCAATGTAGAGGCCTCAAGAAGTGCAGATCGGGCACCAACTTCTGTCACTCGCGCAACCAGCACAGAACGTGCGTATGCCTCTGATAGATGTCCCCAGCTTCTGTGCCTCCCTCCAAGCCATAATTTGGCAAGCGAAGTGGGCTGTTTTGGAGCATATCGTTATTTAGGCTCCCATCCCTCCATCATGTGCAGTGTCATGTCATTGCCTTGTGCAACGACCGTCATTCTCTGGTGGCATGTCAATGGGCAATCAAGCAACTAGAGCAAATCCTCAGATTTCTACCAAAGAGGATATACATGATCTGGTTTCTACCGCCTCCACATGCTCGTAACGTCAAGAGCTGCATGTGGATGACCAACGGGACTCGCACGAAGCTTTCATGTTTAACATGAATACGATTACTTATGCGGGAACGCCTCATTTACGAAGAAGACGTATTAAGGCATAAGCATCGACCGAGAGGTCGTCCTATCTATTGTGAGGAATGTCACGCCGTGACCAGCGGCATCACGATGATGATTGTCGGATTATCCAAGGCGTGAGGCCCACGCCAAGGTTCAGATGCCGCCAAGGAGTGCTCCAGCAAGGGAGCAGATAATATCCCCAGGAATTGAACCTGACGCCCTAACCTTTGTGTCAAGAGAGTTTGCTGATCCTTTCCCTGCCTACCCCACCAACACTCATGATTGTCTTAGCGACCCGGGCAAAAAAGGCGATCACCTTTTGAAACTATGCATGGAGCCTAAAGGCACGATGCGCAATTGAGATGCACGCACCACGAACGCAAGGCATAAATGACAAACATATAAGGGTAGTGTCAAGGAACCAACTCAATCAAATGCTCAAGCTTTTGGTTGTAGTCCCAAGAAAGATTTTTATATTCTCACGTGCACACGTGATCGATTTGAGCCTTGCATGTGAAACCTTATTTTAAAAAAATGCATGACGATGAGGTTCGAACTTGTGACCTCTAAGTCAAGAAGGCTTTGATATCGTTTCAAGGAACCAACTCAACCAAATGCTCAAGCTTTTGATTGTAGGCCAAAAAAACATTTTTATATTCTAAAAGGTAGCACCTTTATATTACTACTAAAAAGTAGCAATGCACACCAGATTTTAAAAGAAATAAGACCAAGTCTTACAAAACACCGCAGAACCAAAGTCACACATAGTAGTGCTAATTTGAATACTTCCACCCCAGATCATTTGAATTTGGTTCTTCTTCTTCCAAATCGAGAAATTCTTCCATGTTGGAAAAAGTATAACATAACTACATACATGAATATGAAACATGAAAACTTGAAGAAAGAAGAGGAAACCTGAAAGAGCAAGAAAAAGAAATGAATGGCATAGAAAAAATATACGTTGTAGCCGGTGGTGTGATGAAGAAGAAGAAATTTACAAGTATTGCTGCAATGCGCTAAGCGTCAATGAAATTTGCGAGGAGAATGATGAGAGGTAGTGGAGTTGCGTATGGGATGGTCCTCTTTTCATAATGTAACCTTTAAATTTATATAGTAGGTAGTGCCCTTCAGTGCATCAGGACTAATTAACAAGGGGTTGACTTCCGCTGAATCTCCTCCACTTGCTAGTTGCCCTCGTCCACTTCGGGCCACACGATCTTCAAGTGTCGTTTATAGGGGAGACTTGCTCCAATCTCACCTCCTTTGGGTGGATCTGAGGATTCCTTTCGAGCTCCTGGGAGAGAAAGGTTCCCCTGGGACTTGACCAATTTCAGGTAGTAATCATTGATTCGAGTCCTTGGCAAAGGAACCACAGGGTTGGCACTTCTAGGTGTTCAGTTTAGTTTCAAGTCTTTTGGCTAAGGGGACCGCAAGGTCATACTTTCCAGACATGTGTTCATCCCACTAAGGACTTTGGGCAATTCTAAAGGATCACTCTCCATGTCCTTCCATGAGGTTGGTTTGGTGATCATGTTCATCGTAGGTGTCCTACTCGTCTACAACCAGCACTTAGACAACTATTTGTAAAAGAAACTTCTTTTTCATTCAAGTGGGGCCCTCAGCAATTGTCTACTATTATGAGGTGCTTCAAAAAAAAACAATAATACGATATTATACATTCTTCAACAATGGGTTGGGGGATCGTCTTGCTAGTATACAATCAATTTGCCATCTATGTTTACTAGAGACTGACTGCCGCATGCTTCAATTGCTTCCTCCACGGCTTCTCCTTGACCTTTTAAATAATCAAACAAGTTAGGATTAGTGAACCTATCTGGACATGTATGCATCTGGACCGGGACCTTTCTTCTGGGGGGAGATGGGATCAATGTGACACATGAGCCATAGTATGATCTTTTGCATCTACAACAGCCCTGTACTATAGCAGCCTCCACCATCCTTGGCAAGAAGATCATGCTTTCTTTGGTCATTGACCATTCCTCCACTAGCTCTAGCAGCGTATGCAAGACCCCCTCCTCAACATATACCTTAGCCTTTTCCGTAGCAGGCAGAGCCTCGGGTGCTCGAGTTCAGGCCTCTTCCGCCACATTTTCTGTTAGTAGCTTTGCATACAATTCTACCACTTTACCTCAATCAGCTGTGAGTTGGGCGGCTTCGACAATAAAGTCATCTTTTGTGTTCCTGGAGTCCGGCCTGCAAAGTCTTCTTTGCACGGTTGGATTTCACGGAGATAGCAGCAGATGAGAGACAGCCTTTCCCTGCTCCCTTGGTGATTTTGAAGGGACACCAGAAAAGGTTAAGGGTTGGTGTGATTCTGATCCTCTAGCATTTAATCGAAAAGCCAAAGAAACAGTAGTACAAATGTGGAGTGGGTTGGCATGGAAGAAGGCTGTGAAATCAAGGTATTCTATGATAAAGGGGATGAATGGCAAAATAGAGGCCAAACTTCATGGAAGCAACGTGAAGGCCGAGGTGACTGTCCTAGTGTCCTGGACAGGGCCGAGGGGTTGTGAGGATATTGTCATCAGGCTTGGGGAGATGAACGATGAGGTCAAACAGAACAAGGCGTCTGGCAGTCAAGCCAGAGGAGGTCGTAAGGGCAGCACAATGTGAGATCTGAGGTAGATGAAGAGTGATCTCTATTGTGCAGAGACACAGCTCAGTGTTTAGAAGAGGATGAAGGTTTGAAGAAGTTGGGGTTGGACTTGGAATTTGTGGAGGTATTTTCGTGGATCCAGTGGGGATTACAATGTTAAGAGGAAGGCTGCGGACGAGGTACTAGCCTCCTCGACAGTCCCAATACCCACTGCCCAGAAACTGACCTTGAAATTTGGACAAATGCATAAAAAAAGTCGAAAATTCACGGCGGTGCTCAAGAACTTCAGTGGAGAAAACCATTGCAAGGGCAGGGGACGATGGCTCTAAGGAATAAAAAGGAATGTGGCAAGAGTTTCTCTAGGGTTCGCTAATATAAATGAGAAACAAGGCCAAACAGAGGGGTGTTTATAGGCCTCCAAGGGAGATCGGTCAGGAAAACCAAAGGACGCAATCATTACCTTTTGAACAGATGGATGATGTTGAACGGTCACAACCAAACACTCTCGCAGGATAAAAAGTGTCATCATTGTGTTGCCACAGCATAAGATGCACAACTGTCCCAGCAGATGGCCGTTACGCAACGTCCCCTCTGAGGCAGCTCTAGCTGACCACCCCACCATGCTACGTCCATTCTCTTAAAGGCACTCTCCTTGCCCTCGGTTTTTTTCCCACAAGAATTTTTGCAGCATGGGGTACCCCTAAGAGATGCGAGCGGCCCACACTAGAGAGGGGTGGCATCATCGTCCTTAACTTGGTGACCTCAGTAGCAGGAATTTCAAAGTTTAGACACTCCATATCACCTTGGCCCTCCCATAGAGACACAAGATCAGCTTATTAAATCTGCAAAAATTTCAACTTTTAGGAGACCTTAGCTATTGCCCTCGGATCAGGGACTGCAGAACTTTGGCTACTTTCACCAGGGGGGAAGTGGGGGACTCGTGATGGATATTCGGGACCAAGGGTGTCAACATAACTCTAAAGAATACAAATAAAAAAGTTCCATGCACGCACTAACATATAAGATCCACTGCTACTTTCCCAATTTCGTTGCAAGGATTGGATTCATTTCTGATGAGCATGACTACATCCCCCTGAATAAGACTTGGCATCTGATCTGGTCCCTCGACTATACACTGTTACTTGATTTGGTCATCAATTGTCTTTACTCAGTCAAGTCCTCATGCATATTTCCTTTAAATAAGAACGATATTTTTGGGAATAGTTTGGGTCCAGTCTACATAAGTCCCCACTTCCTATTAGTTTGTCTACATTACATTGATCAATTTTCTTTGTTCCTCTTTAAATAGGAAAAATTCACGTAAATACTCACATAAATTCACGATTTTACGATATTCCTCCCAAATGCAACTAATTACTACTCTGCACCCAAATAACTTTTGTATTTACAACTTCACTCTCACGCTACCTAATCAGCCTATTTTTTTAATCCACGTGCAGTTGAAGAGTTAATAAGAACAATTAGGTGGCTTATTAGTTGTGTATTCCATTTGAAATAATCAAAGTTGAAATAAACATTACTTTGTATATTCTTTAAATTTTATGTTTTTTTAAATACATATACATTACACCCTAATTCCTTTAAATTTCTTCTAACTCCTTCAAGTTCTTTGCGTTTATAACTCTTTTCAAATTCGGATGAAAAATAATATTTGTATCTTAGAGTTTCAGTTTATAGATTTGGATAAACAGTGTTATTGTATATTATTCGTATGTGCATTTACAAGTTATACAATGCTCTTTTATACATTTATTTAAACTATCATCATAATAATACTTAAAATAAAAGTAATATAAAAAATGGAAGTAAATAATTTTCGTGTCACTATTGGATATAGTTGGAAAAAACTTTAAAAAACTAAGAAAATGGTAGAAGTAATCAAGAGAAAATTGAAGAAGTTAGAAAAATTAGAAAAAATTGAAAAAAAATTATAGGAGTTGGAAAAAAATTGCAAAGAGTTACAAGAGAAGAAAAGAAGTTGAAAAAATTGGAAGACTTGAAAGAAATTAGGAAAAGTGAGAATCCAAAACAGACCTCCCAACTATTATAAAATCATTTAAAAAAAGTAACCAAACACACATTAAATCAATCAAAACATTCAGTAAAAATAAAAATTCAAGTGCATGTGCATCAAAAAATGGTTTAATTAGGCAGCATGGGAGTGATGTTTTAAGTGCAGCAGAGGAGTAATTAGTTGCATTTGGGAGTAATACCGTAAAATCGTGAATTTCTAGAAGTATTTACGTGAATTCTTCCTTTCAAATTACCATTCATGAAATCTATACATAGTAACTATGTTTTCCATTATTTACCCTTTTTCTACTCTTCAATTGTCCTTTTTTCTCCCAAGGAACATAAATGAAAGGGTAACTTTCAATGAGGGCATAAAGTAAAGTATTAAAAGTTTAGATTAATTCTTCACCTCAATGAATTTCCTTAAATTGTGTGATTTGGTCGACATAGACATACAAATGGACTAGAAGGGGTAGTTGAGGGCCGAATTGAAATCGAAATTATGTCTGATTTTACAAAACAGACATAAATATCTTTCATATTTAAAACCAGACATGTATCATGTATGTGGATTGTGGACTAAATTGGGTCCATATATCCAAATAGAAACCAAACTCAGTAATAGTGTACGGTGAAATGACAAAATAATTTATTAACTCTCCAAAACAACCTTTAAATTCAAAAAAAAATGCAGGGAAGGCTTACCATGGAAGTTTGTGTATTCATTGTATTTAATACTTCCTCCATCCCAAAATTAACTTCTCATGTAAAAATGGCACAAAGTTTATGAATAAAGAAATTGTGTTAAAGTTTGTGCAAAGGAGAGAGAAAATATGAACCATATATTTCTATCCTTTAAAAGAATAGGAAGATTTTTTTGGGACATCCAAAAAGGAAAGTGGGATGATTATTTTGGGGGAGATGTAGTACTTCTGAAATGTTATGTAGAAATAGTGGGAAACATTACCTCAAGGGAAACACAAGAGGTAAGCTCCATAGGTAACTCTTCTATTGAGTTTTCAGAAAGATCAACTTTGGTGATATCATTGTACTCCCAAACATCTGATGGGATTGTTGTCAGACCAAGCTTTCCTAATGAAATTTCCTGAAAGACCAAAGAACTAGTGATAATAAATGCTAGATAAAGTCTCGAGTTCATCAAAACCTTGAGAAAAGATTTCGAAGGTGACTAGCGATAGGATTTTGTAATTGGATTTTTTACATCCACAACCTCCCACAAAGTTTCCAAAACATATATGTAGTATCAAATATAAGAGAGGGTTGAGAAAACAGAGGAAAAAGGAAAATAATCACAACTATGAAGTTTATTAAAAGAACCTTTGACGTAAGGGACATTCTTCTAGCCATTGATATCACATCCTCTTTTGATGGTGTGTTAGAAGCAGAATCTACTAATGAGGGAAAGTAAGTATTGATAAAAATGAAAATATAATAACGAAGAAAATCACCATTTCCATCGTCATCTTAGAGTGTTAGACTATTAAATGCAGTTAAATTAAAAAAACTAATGCAACATTAAAACAAGTGAAGAACCAAATCACCTTCATCAGTTGGAAGTCTACTTCGAAGGTATTTTAATAGAGCTGGTGTAGGTCCATTCACCAGTGAGCTGAACAAAAGATGGAGAATAATTAAATTAAGTTTTCAACCATTATAATTTCCCAATGAAGGAAAAAAAATAGACAATCAATGTAACAATCAAACCTTCGAAGAGATCGCATCGGATTACCAACGATTAAAAGCTTTCGCAAAGTTGTCATCAAGCCTAAAAATGATATGTCATCATACATTAGCTTATACGAGAAGGAAGCATTAAAGATGCTGTGTTTTCCAGTCCAATCATTCCTGTTTTAAGAAATTGCTATCCAAGGAAAACAAAACAGGCTAACAAGGCACATCTGGGAGATATTTTACAGACAAGAATTGTGGCATCTACTGTTTCAGTTTCCAACTCAAACTCCAAAATTATGGGAAGGAAAACTATATAGAAATATTTATCCGTAGACTCATACATCATAAACTGCATGAAAGCAATCAAGCAAATTCACAAGATTCTGGTAATACCAATTTCAGGAGGCAAACCGGACAAGGAATTGTTAGAGATGTCCAGGACTGAGAGATGCAGTTTACATGCCTCAACTGGAAACTCCTTCAACTACAAATCAATACCAAAAAAATAATTTATGCTGACCCTAGATAGAAGTCATAGAATAAAAATATAAAAGCACTACAGTGTCTTTTTCAAGCCACAACCACCATACAAATATTCTTCTGCTAAAACTCTATTTAAGAAAGTGTGGGTGGGGCATGCCATAGTATGTTGGAATTGGAAATTACCTGATTAGAGTGGAGATCAAGTGATCCCAGTCCAGCAAGTTCTCCTATCTCTGCTGGCAATGAACTAAGTACATTACCCCTATCAGAGACAAATGCTCTAAAGTAAGAACTCAGAATGGTGAGAGTAGAACACCACATAAAAGTGATAAAAGTGGGTGTAAGTACCCTATGTAAAACTCTAAAAGAGATGAACATTCCTTTATTGATGATGGGATTGATGAAATTCCTGTGAATAGTAATTCATTCCAGGCAAGAAAAGTGACCTAATTAATGCATAGTAACAATAATAAGAAGACAAAAAACTCAATATGTAAATTTATGAAACTTGTTTACTCACTGTTTTGATGGACATCTAGACGAATCAATCGCTTAAGGTTTCCAATATTTTCCGGGATGCCTTTCAACAAGTTCTTCGCTGATAAAGTTTCAACATGTAATGAAAATATATCAACATGGATTAAAAATAAATATGCAATGAAACAAGTAAATATAAAATAAAAAACAGGAATTTACATGCATTCAATTCTGTAAGCATTAAGCATGATGAAAACAAACTGTCGGATAACACTGATAGCTTGTTTCCCTGGTATGAAGACAAAGAAAGTGCTTAAAAGTTGCAAAACCTCATATTGGACAGAAGCTAAGAAACTAATTAAATGAATATGCAGTACCTCCACTTCCAACTTCGTCAACTTTGTACAGTTGGCAACTTCTTCTGGCAATCTAGAAATACTATTGTTTGATGCCTGAGTGAAACCAAACATAAATCAACTACAAATTGCACAAGTCAACCATAAAAATATGTTTATGAACATTTTCTTGATATCTAAAATATCCATTATCAGATTGTTATGGAATTATGTTGTGCGACCACATGTTTTGCATTGGGTCACACCATTATGAAACATTAGTATGATCATTATGAAATATTTGTAATTATTACACAACATTTTTTGTTCATTTTGAATTAGTGAGCACAATTTAACTTATGAAATGTGCATGCGCTCACTATGAAACATTAGTAGTCATTATGAAACACGACAACCAGTTAGTGTGCACCTTGCGCATCAAGATGTCCGATTGTCACACTCATATGGAGGGCATGTATTACCTTATACAGGTAAGTAATCTCATGTGAGAGAAATTTTTATCAATATTAATTAAGCCATAACACTATATGAGTATAAATTTTTATCAATATTATTGCCTCACAATCCCTACCTAGAACTGCCTAGGCACTGGACTTATCTTGGTTACCACCTCTTATTTTTGAAACTGGCCTCACCCACCTATGCTTCACCTACCCCAGTCGAAGCCCAACATAAGTACAAGGCCTGGATCTCTCAGTGTCAACTGCTTTTTAGAACAATGACAATTTCAATGCACCAACCACATCATGCAATGCCTCAAAGAGAAGTAAACTAAGAGCAGAACTAAATCAATTATCCAGAGTTTCCTAACTTTCTAACCCTAACAAGTGTCAATAGAAAATACCTTCAGTTCAGCAAGATTTGAACATCTTCCAAGAGAACCAGGAAGATCATTTAGTTTGTTGTTTGAGCAGTCAAACCTGGAGTAAACATGCATAGACAAAAAATATCTTATAGCTCGGATTCTCTACAGCTTTGAAAAAACTATGCATCTGAAAATGAATAACATACTTTACTAGAGCTGCTGCACCTCCAATTTCTTCTGGAATACTCTGGATTAAGTTAAATGACACATCCAATAATTTGAGCGATTGAAGGCTTCCCAAATTAAGCAAAGACATAGAGGTAAGCTTAAACGAATCTTGGGAAAATTTGAATGAAAAATAAAAAAAGAGTATCATATTTAAACATGTTGAAAGGACATACTCTCCTATCGCAGCCGGAAGACACGAAAGCTGATTGTGACTAACATTCAGCACTGATAAGAGAGGCAAATTCCGGATGTCTTCCTTCAATGTTACAATATCATTATGAGCCAAAATCATCTTCTGCAACTCCACTGCCTGAAGATCATGAAATAACAAGCACTTCAAATTGGCACACACACACACACACACACACATATATATGCACAATAATTTCCACAGAGGAGGAACTCACAAAGAAGAGGCTCTCACTTTTCTCTCTTTTTTGCACGACTCAACACAAGGCACACACCACCATAATATATATAGGAGGACTGGGGAGCTAATTAAGGCAAGCATAATTAGGTTAAGGAGTAAAGAATGAGATTGAGTAAAATGGGTTGCTAGGTTGGGAGCCAAACCATTATTAATATGTTTGGGTCAATACCCAAATAAATTAACATAGAGCATCTCAGCCGAGGGAAGTTCTAAGGCCCAAATAGGTAATGGGGTAGTTGAGTTGAGAAGTGGGATATGTTTGAGCATAAGGAACATTTTCAAGCTGATTGTTAAGATACATGGTGCAAAGAGGGGTATTTGGACTGCATAGCAAATGAGCAGAAGATACTGACAACTAGGTGAAAGGTAGAGAACTACCCCTGGAGAATGCATGCCTCGTTGATGCCTGATGATGTGGTATTCCAAATAAAAATCATCCCACACAGGCCCACATGTGGCAGAATGCAACATAATCTTGTACCTCTGCTAAATGGATTGCTACGAAGGCGTTCGGTGATGTGGTTGCACATTTTGTCCAATCAGTGAATTCTTAGTCTGGTATTATCTTATAGAGGCATGGGATTATAAGGAATCCACAAGCAGTGAGGGAAAAGAGAATGTTCATTTCTGAAGAATTTGGGAGCCAAGAGGAGGCTAGGAGTAGGGGTTCTCTTACTTGGCTAGATAGACTGGGGTGGTGAAAGCTTCTATAGTTCTATCAAACCTACTCTCTCGCTTGCAACAAGTGGGATAGTTCTAAGTTCTATCCTATTGAGGTGGGAGGGAGATGTACACTTTCTATGGGGCTTGCAATGTAGGGTTCACAATTCCTATAATTTTACACAAAGTACTTTAAGGGTTTGCTCACTTTCTTGGAAAAAATTGCAATTGTGATGCCAAAGTTCACCCTAGTTAGAACTTTGGTAAATTGGTACCTTAATTTCTAAGGCCTCAACTTGTTCCAAAAAGAAAATTGGATTTTTATTTCTTTAACTGATTATAAACATATTATTGAAATATCACCTCAAAAACTCTTTTTTTTAATACTCTATTTTTATTTTATGTTCCCCAGAATAATAATTTATCTAGTTTATGAACTTTTGTTAGATTTTTAACTTTAAAAAAAAAACATATTATGGTGGGTCAGTTCTCTGTTCTGGAACCGGTAACATAGTCGGTGAGGTTGGGTTTAGGCTCAGTACTATCGGGCTTGTTCGAGTTCGGGTCAATTTTGGTTCGGGCTGATGAATGCTTTTTCATGACCCAGATGAAATGGGGGGTTCAGATTGACGCAATGGGTCTAAACATTTATTTATGGCATTGAGATTTTAATACAAATAAGCAAAAACAATTACCACCATTAACTCAAAATGATTCCATAAAATGACTAATGCATATTGTAGTAATTATTTCAAGAATTCTACGAGTAACAAAGTCATTGTCATTGATAAGGGAAATCAAATTGTATGTTCAAACAACACAACTCACATTTATCAAAATAACAAATTGTTTAGAGTCCAAAAATCTTATATATCAAACAAAATAATTGTCCATCAATCTCCACACATTCAAATTTTAATGTGGATTGTTGAATCTTTGAAATGGAGCTTGGAGGAGATGATGATGGGCACACAGCCACAGAGATAAGAGTATGGGACAATTGGTGATTTTAAGCAGATGAAGATGTGTAGACAACTTATTTTGGTTTTACACTCTTTAAGTGTGTAATGGGTTGTATCTTTGGACATGTCATTTGACATTTGTATATATAATTAATGAGTACTACCTCCGTCCCGTAAAAGTTTTCCACTTTGGAAAAAGGCGGGATTTAAAAAATCTATTCCAATCTTACCCTTACTTTATAGAATGGTAGGATAGGATATGATGGATAGATTTATAGTGAATATGTATGATGTGATTGATAGGTTATTAAGTAGTACGGGTATAAGGGAGATCTTAATTGAAAGTGGAAGTCTTTTTTAGGATAGATGAAAAGCGAAAGTGGAAAGGTTTTTTGGGACGGAGGGAGTAAAGTAAAATACAGTCTCGAAGCTTTAAAGTGTAAAACCCATCGGGTCAAACTTACTCGACCTGATCTAGAATTATAACATGTCTTTGGGTTCGAGTAGCAAATTCACGTTCATAACCCATTGTTTTTGGGTCGGCTGATTGGGTTTCAAGTCAAAAATCAATCATATCAAATTTTGGCAGCTCTACTCTTTTCTTTTTGTACAAGTCTCATTCCACGATCATTAGGTTCCACTTAATATTACATACGACCTTGATCCCGCAAAAAGGTTTTCATAGTGAAGGGGACAATGTTCATCCAAATGTGTGAAATTGTGTGATTTAGATTTATGCACTCATGACAACTCTTTCTTAAAAATCAAATTGGATCTCTTTTTTTAGTCCGAGTTATGAAAAATGTGGAACCTTCTAAGAGAATAAAATTTGAGACATGAACTCCATGATTATCAAAGTATGCACTTGATTGTGAACTCTTAAAGAAAAGAAATCTGAAAAACCAGTTCAACTTTTCGGTATTCTGACCAAATTCAAGGGCACATGCCACGTACTAGAGTTTGTTAACTTTGATACAAAATCACGATTTTCCCTCTAATGGATTTAAGATCCGAGGGTAGTAGAGGCTTAAAGCTAGGTTCACTTAGACCATTAGTCTCCCATCCCCTTGGATGAAGGAGGGATACTTATAAAGGATGAACCTCATCCCCGAAGGCTGCTTCGCACCCGGTCGGACGGTCACTGAGAAAAGGTAAATTGGACTTTAATCGCAGATTGGTGGCAGGGAGTAGAGTCTGCATCTGGTACTTGCAGAGACCCTATGCTTAGCATAGTTGCTTCTCAGCACAATTGCCAATAATCAAACTCGAGTCTACCCCTTGGCACTACCTGTCTTTGCCAAGTGCGCAATGCCCACCGATAGTAGGGATATTTATAGGTGAGGGTAGTAGAGGAAAGAGAGTAATTGCTTAGAGCTAGGTTCTATAAGACTACTAGAGTCTCACATCCGAAAGGATGAGATATGGGTATTTATAGGTTTGCACTTAAATAAGATCCATAAATTAACCCTAGTTACATCACAAAGACATCGCAAAGCCCCAAGGCCGAGCAGGCCCCAACAAATGATTTTCTCCTCTAGGCCCTTGACACTCGCCACCTGGCCTTGGGCCTCCAAGCTCATTGGAGCACAAACCCGTTGTACGGGCCGAATATACTCATCACCCTCACGTTCTGTTTGTGCCTTTATTTCCTTCGCCATCCTCCATTCTCTTGTTGGAGGCCTTCAATGGTATTTGCCTACTCCAAAGTGAAGGAGGAAGGAGGAAGATACACAGCAGAGTGAGACTGGAAGAGAAAGAGAGCAAGATGAAAGAAAACCACAAATTGGTGTGGTTGTTAAATACTCCCCAACATTTACCAAAAGGTTTAGGAGAGTTATGAAAATCGTTCAGCAAAAACAGGCCCCTACAGCAATTTGTGGACTATGTAACCATACCTCCCACCATTTCTCATCCCCACTAACTGCATCCAAACTTTGGTAAACCTCATCTGGCACTTCCCTGGTGAGCAAGGCTATTTGAATTGAGTCATTACAATTAACAGAAAGGCATGCGCTGAAATCATCTATTAACGAATTTAAATAGCGAACCTGAGTGAACGGTTGGATAAGTTGAGTGACCCAGAGGTTCTCGCAGTTTTCAAAACACGATCCATGGAAGATTTTCGTTACATAAGCGAGTCGGACAGGTATCTGTAGAAGTATAAGTCAGACACTTTTTTCCTCGCAGTGCAGGACGGATTTGGCTACTCCATTTCAACTTGAAAATTTTAAATGAAAAGGAGTAGCCAAATCCGTTTCACTTTATTTAAAAAAACTTCAAACGGATTAGGCATATCCCTTTCAATTGAAATTAAAGTAGTTACGAAGTAAAGTAATCCGTTTGCTCTCTTCTTCTTATCTCCTTTCTTTAGTTTTTATCTCCTTTTTTTATCTCCTTTCTCTCTTTAGTTTTTATCTCCTTTTTTTATTTAGTGTTTTTAGTTTTCTTTATGTTTTTTTAGTGATCTTTATGTCTTTTAGTTTTTACTCCTAATACATTGAATTTTTTACTTTCTTTTTTCACTTTAACTTTTTCAACACATTTATTTTAAATTAAAAAAATATACTCTAAATTATACTCCCTCCACCCTAAAAAGATCTATCCATTTCATTTTTTGTGCATATCATAAAACAATTTTATCTCATCTCAAATGCCAAAAAATATATAAAACAACTTCTACCTGCAATAAAGAGTAAATATGGTAAATTTTAGAAATTTTAGATATGCATAAGAGTGTTTTATGAGATGTGCAAAAAATGAAACGGGTAAATCTTTTTTGGACGGAGGAAGTAATATACTACAAGGTACAATTTACTCTCCCTGTTCAAAAGAGATTTTCCTGTTATACACATTATAATATTTCTAAGTATTTAATCGATTTCTAAGTATAACATTTAATTATTTTATTATAAATAATTTCTAAGTAACAAAAATTAATTGATTTCTTTGAGAAACTAAAAATTATAATATTTCCTCCATCTTTAAATAGATTACAATTTCTTTTCTCTCTCTTCTCGATAAGTTTTATTTATTTACGCGATTTTATTAAGTATTTGATTAAATAAAATATTCTTGTCACCTCTTGTTTTATACTCGTAGAACTTTTAACGTAATTTTTTAATATGTAATTTTTAAGGGATATCGTTGTTCTATGCTACTATGAAGTTCAGCAATGATAAATTGGTCACACTTTTTCCTGAGAGGCGAACAAATGGATATGTTTGACTGCAATCTAGATATAATTTTCCTATGAATGGTGGAAACATATTAGGAAAAATAAAGTAAATAGATATGTTATTAATTTCAGTTATAATATGGACTATCGACCACGGAGACATCACAAAACGTTTGTTACGTTTAGAAAAAACTGCGTCCCGTAAAGTCTGTTACATTTCTATTAAAAAACCACTTTTACCCCTTACTTTTTCATACCCTACCTATCACATCATATCTTTTTTCTAATAATCTACCCATTACATCCTACTATTGCCCATCACATCAAGGGTATTTTTGGAAAGTCAATACCAAAATATCCCTCCCTTAATTTCCCAAAAAGTCAAACCGTCCCATTCTTTTTGGGACGGAGGGAGTATATTTTTTCTTCTTCTTTTACTTATATTGTATAAAGTTCACTTAAAGTCAATAAACAGTAGTTTTATTTTTAAATTATATTATACAGTATATTTTAGATTAAAGAAGTGTATTGGATAATGTGTAAAAACGAAATTGGACAAAAATGGAGGATAAAATGGAGTATAATTTATTTATAAGTGACAAAAATTACTTGAACAAAAAAATTTTAAGCTAATAAAAATTGGAACAAAAAGTGAAAGGAAGTAGTGGAATGAATTAGCCAAACAAAAAAATGCAATTGTGGAACCGAGAAGCAAAACAAGTAAAGCAACAAAAAAATAAACACTTGAACGGATAAGCCAAATCCGTTTAGCAATTAAATCAGAAAAACGGAGTAGGCTACTCCGTTTCAATAAATAATATACCAACAAAACGGATTAGCCTACTCCGGGTGGTTTTATTTGGGAAATGACAAAATAAATCTGCATATAAAGGAATGCATTACACTTCTTTTACACAAACAGGGAAATCACCCCCGGTTGATCGGTCTATCGGGAGACTGCCACTTGTTTTCTCTTCCCAATCCATTCTCATTTTGTTGTTCATCTCTTTTTTTCTTGTTTAGAATTATTTTAATTTACATCATTTAAACTTTAAATATAAAATAAAAATCTCATTAAAATTAAATTTAAAATTACAATGGCAAAAGTAAAAGAAAAAAAGTAATAGATGAGGAAAAAAATATGAGTACTTGATTTACAAAATATAACTACTTGGTTAAAGAAATTAAAAATCATTGCCCAAATTGTCATCACACTTTAAAAATCATTACCCAGTTATAGGTCATTTTACATATTTAGTCCTTACATATCAAATATTACTAATTTAGTCCCCAATTATTACATTCATTTCCACGAATAGTTCTTTGCAAGCACAGTCAACGATGATACCCTTTTGCCTTATCTCATTCAATGGGTCGTGTTCGCTCTAGAGGGGTTGGAACCACTACATGAATCCGCCAGAATCACGACGGAAAATGGCGACCGAAATAATTTGACGCGTTTGGCGATGGAATCCGTGATAGAAAGTCTTAGTTAACCAAACGTTACATCGGATATGAAAATCTGTCATCGTCACACGGCAACGCAGATGTCCATCGAGCGTTGGATGATGTGTGGTTACTTTATACATTCCCCGGACTCCAACGCATTGGTTCATTCAGCCTGAGACACCTTGTTTGGCAACAGAACTCATTTGGGGTCGGGTGCCTACTAAATATCTCCAACACTTTCAGATATGGGAAAGAGCCATTATATTGCATTTCATAGTTTGACAACGGTGATTTTAAGTCATCATCACTTGCCCTGATTGGTTGAGTGAGGGAAGTGGTGTTAGCCTTGGACACGGTACGGTTCTGGTCTTGTTCCAATTTCAGAACTGACGGTTCTGGTATCGCCATGGCTCTCCCCCGTAGCTATCACATGAAGATTGTAGTTTTCGGGTAGCAAACCTTCCCAATGAAGGGTTAGTTTTCTCACCGAGTGTCGTGTCTCTTGAAGAGTGGGCGAAGGAAATTAGCTAATTTCTCGAACTAGGCAAAGGTTTGTACAAGTTTATGAAAGTCTTATCTATACGATTAAAGAAAAGAATACATAAAAAATAAATAATTTTACATAGATGAGCAAGATCTCGACCTAGGGTCAGGACATCATCTTGTTTACTTTATCACATTTAATTAACAATTGGAACAATTGTATTTCTACCATTATTCACCTATTACTAGGATTCGTAATTACCCTGTTCGTCTTGAGTATGACAGCCATATAGCGTATAGAACTTTTTAATATATAGCTAATTAAATCTATCAATATCAATTAACTAAATATAGCAAGAACAAATTAAAGATAACCATTCCAAAATTAACTAAATATTCAAAGTATATGCCCAAACTAGTCCAGACCCAGGGTCCGAACCCTAACTCATACTATGTAAAATAATTAAAACAACATTATATTTAAAAGTGAAAACTTACAGGTTCCGAGCAAGTGGAATAGAATAGATCTGGAGTTGAAATCTCTGAAAATACTTTCAAACTAACTACTGTATCTAAACTATAAGCTAAATTGAGAACAAAATGAGAGAAGAAGCCAAAAGGCTTGGAATTAGATGCTTGGGATGGGAGAATTCGCGCTGCTTATATAACATGGGATCGAGAGCATCCAAGTAGGGGCATCCAACTCTAGACGCCCTAACCTTTGGTCCATTCAGCTCCATTTCTGGCCCAGTTTTGTCCTTTTAGTCCTCGAACATTGATTTTGACCTCCTAGAAGCTCATTTAAGCACAAATCTTGATCCATTAATGATTGTTTCTCTATTTCTCAAGTATTTGAACATAAAATGGATGATTTAAGATGATTTCATGTGGAATCTCTTTTAATGACTCTTAGAACGAAAACGAGAGTTTTATTCATGAAAGCATATTTTATGAGATGATTAATGCTATTTGTGTGCAATAACATTTAGAACATAAAGTAAAAGATAAGAACGAAACACACTTATCAAATTTCTTACACTTAAATATTGCTTGCCCTCAAGCAACAAGCTGAATAATTACAAGAATGGAGGCAAATGGGTAATCACCAAAAAAAGTTTAAGCTGCATATTATGAAGGAAAGAGGAACTAAGATAGTCATTGATTTTTGTTAAAAAGAAATGAACGTTTAGATTCTCACCCATATTGTTAGAAATGTAAAAGTATTTTGTCAAACCAACGTTTTTGCACTGATCTTATCAACAAAGTTTTCCAACCTTCCTTGGGATAAACACATTAGAAAGAAAGATTACCAAGATTTAAAAAAATTAATGGCTACATTGAGAAACATGATCCTGTAAGAGTAATTACAAAAATGTAATTGTTTGTTTTTAGACATAACTTTGACATGTTGGTACGAGAAAAAATTTCAATCCTCATCTCGTGACATAGCAACATAGAACCACATGCTTTTTGATTTTAACATTCAAAAGGCCTCATCACGCGATATAGAATCGCGTGCTTTTTGGCGTACTCGTCTAGCCTCATCAATTGATATAGAACCAATTGCTTTTTGGCTAAAACAAAAATCTCGCTCTCACCAAAGTATGCATTTTTTTCTAAAATATATCTCTTTACATCTTGGGAAAAAATTATTTTTAAAGAAGCAACAAGTACTCAGATTCCAAAGGGTAAAAGAGCATTTACAAAAAAATTCAATAAGGCAATTATAAATCGTTTGATCTTTAAAACTCCTTAAACAATTGAACTTATCCCAAATTATTTTAGAAAAATATTCTCAAAAGATTGAAAAAAATAGAAGTTTGACAAAAAAAAGTTAAAAATTTCCAATTTTTATGGGTGATAACTAAAAATCAATTAATCAAACAAATAAAGTTAATGACTATTTTATAAAATCTTTTCCTACAAATATATAGACAAAACAATTCATAAAGTGATCATTTCAACCATAAACTCTCACCTCCTCACACTTAAACAGAAGTGCGCCTTCGCGGTTTAAAATGTGATTTTGAATTAGATTTAATGGTTGAAATATCCACATGCAATCACTAGGTTGTCCTCATACTTAAAGAATTTAACGATGAAGATTGAAATAGTAATCAATCAGAATCATAAAAAGATTTGGGGAAAAGGACGCAAGCATAGAGAACTTTCCCATATGTGATTTAAA